GGAAGATCCTTTCCCTTTGCTTTGGCTTATACTGACGCAAATGGTCCCCTCAATCCAGTTGATGTCATAAACCCTCTTTGTTGGACCTTCTGCTGACTTCACATCCGGAGAACTACAAGTCTCTGTTGAACCGCCATTGGGTTCATCGATCATTGTGTGGTCCGGAGCATTGTGCCGTTCACCGCCCTCTTCGGCCTACTTCACGGGCTGTCGCCGCGTGTGGCACTATAAGCAGCAGATTGGGATGGGAGCGGTCTTTTTTGCGTCCTCCCTTGGGGGCCCATTTGCTTTTCGTCGAGTACTCCAGATGCCGCGCGACTCTGTCGCCGCGAGGTGGTCCTGCAGGGTATGGAACTCTTTATTCCATTCTCTCGGTGCCGGTCGGTGGCAAGTCCCAACCTTCAGCTGTTTAGGCGTTCCTGCAAAGCGGCTTTCCCTAAGCGTGAATGCTTTAAAGCCTCAAGTAATCCTTGATGTGACTATTGGCGAACGTAAAAGCTACAATTCAGCCTCCAGGTCCTTCAAGCAAATCGCTAAAGCAAAGTCCCTTCCTTTGGTAGAAATTGCCCACCTCCCTTCGGACTCGAGGCCTTCTGGTCTCTTCCAAAGCTGTCCAAGGGAATTTCTGTCAGCCCTCAATTCCACCACTGCATAGGGAGGATGACTCACTTGCCCATACGCGAGAAGAAGGCCGATCTTCTAGGCTGTCTCTTTGCGTCGAACTCCCTTTTGATGATCAAGGGAAGGAACCACCGACATTATTGCGGTGTGATACTACGATGCCCGAAGTTATATTCCGGCAACGTGCTATCCGTAAAGCTTTGTCTTCCTCCTGCGACGTCCATAAGTCGAGCGGGCCTGATGGCATCCCTCAATTGTGCTGCGTACTTGTGCTCCTGAGTTGGCTCCGGTCCTAACGCGCCTTTTCCGGTACCTTTACACGCTCGGCACTGTTCTGAAGTGCTGGAAGATCGCTTCGATACATCCGATCCCTAAAAAGGGGATCGCCTCATCATCCGCCCAACTATCCCCAATAGCTATAACCTCCTTGTTCTCCAAAATAATGGAAACCATTATTAACACCCTCTTGAGGTATCTAGAGGGCCACCACTGATTAGCGATTCTCAGTACGGCTTCCGTCGTGTCGCTCGGCTGGACCTCCTTGTATACCTTACACATAGGTGGGCAGAGGCAATGAGTCCAAGGGAGGCGCTGGCGGTAGTTTGGACATAGCGAAAGCCTTCGATCGGGTGTGGCACAGAGCACTCTCTCGAAGCTTCCAGCCTATGGGCTCCCTGAGAAATTATGCAACTGATTCCAGCTTCTCGCTATCGGACATCAAAGTCGTCATCGACGGAGCATGCTCCGACCTGAAACCTGTGAATGCTGGTGTCCCACAAGGCTGTGTCCTATCCCCACCCTTTTATTCTGCATATCAATGATATGTTGCAGCTTAGCAACATTCATTGCTATGCGGACGACAGGGGGACTCTTGGGACACTGGCCGGGCAGGTATCTCTCAGGCTGTTGTCGGTGAGTACCGGAACAAACTTGTGTCTGAAGTCGAAACTCTTCTACGTGGAGCCGGACTGGGGTAGACTAAATCTAGTTCAATTTAACCCCAAAAAGACACAAGTATGCGCGTTTTCCGCTAAAAAAACTCCCTTTGTCGCTCTCCCTCTTTGAAGACACTCTCCTTAAAGCCCAGCTAGCATCGGAATACTGGGCGTTGAATCGAATAACGTTCAGTTTCGCGGTCATCTGGAAGGAAAGGCTAAATTACTCCAAAGAGCTGGTGTGCTCAGCAAGGCGAGCGGTACCTAACTCCGGGCACCGCTTGCAAGCTATATAAAGGGGCAAATTCGGCCCCATATGGAGTACTGCTCCCCCCCCACCTCTGGCGGGGGCTCCCCAGCTACCAGCTCCTTCCACTTGACCGTATTCAACGAAGAGCGGTTCGAATCGTCGACGACCAGTCCTTTCCGTCGCTTGATCCCTTGGCTTGCGTAGAGATGTGGGATCTCTCTGCATCTTCTACCGCATTTACCATGGAGGGTGTTCAGAGGAGTTGTTTGGTGTAATACCTGCAGCTGAGTTTCATCATCGGACGTCAAGGCAAAATACAAAAATACCATCCGTATCACCCAGACGTCCGTCGTTCCACAACAGAGCGTTTTTCTAGGCAGTTTTGCCGCGCACCACCACTATGTGGAACCAGCTGCCCACAGGAAGTATTTCCGAACCAATTCGACTTAGGGTCCTTCAAGAAAAGAGCGTACCAATTCCTGAAAGGCCGGCAACGCACTTGCGAGCTTCTGGCATGAGTGTCCATGGGGGGGCGGCGGTATCACTCATAACATCAGGTGAGCCTCCCACCCGTTTGCCTCCTATTATAAAAAAAAAAAAAAAAAAAAAAGTTAAAAAATAATATTTCGCTTTTTCGTGGTGGATCATCAAAATTAATGAAATCTGCTCATATCTATTGGAAATATCTAATAATACTAAGCCTAATATTAAGGTACATAGTTATTCTATTTTCTTTACCAGATTTTTAATTAGCAGAGAGCCAATAGTATAGTCTCCTACCACATGCATACCACTTTGAGAATGAAAGCAATAATACCACCATACATTATTTCCCCAGTTAGCAATAAATTATAACCATATAAATAAAAGAGTACATATGTTAATCACTAATATTGTCATGAATAATATAAAGGTAATTAGAATAAAAAAATATATTTTTTAGACACATCGTTAAGGGACGTTAATAAACATATATGAAATCCAGGTATTCAGGGTTAACTGAGGGTCACAGTATGTTGTAAATTGTCCATTAGTGAAAGAGGTTTTCGATCAAATCGACAGCTTATCTGTTGACAGAATTATCAAACTACGGACTGTAATGATAATGTTCCATACAAAAAGAATGTTCTAAGCAACTAAGATATATAGTTCGATATATAAAATTATCAATGATCAGATATGGCAAAATTGTTGCCCTCAGCATACGACTTTGAAGTCAAAGGTTCGATGCCCGCCTTACCAATGGCGATTCGATTGGTACGGTGAAAGAAAAAATCGTGAGGAAAGAGGCATGCCTTAGACTCGACGACCAAAAAGTCGACGGCGTTTGTCAGGCAGACAGCCGATCACCTACTTGCCTATTAGAAAAACACAACTGATCACGAAACAGATATCTGACATAAAAGGATATAGCGCCACTGGTTTTTTTTAGGATGATAGCACTAGGACTAGAAGGTTAAAGTTTCAGATTTATATATTTATCACTTAAAAAGATTAAAATACTTAGAATACAGCCTTTATTATTAAATTCAAGCAAAGGTCCAATAATAATATATATGTGCGTGATATAATCTAATTAATTAAATAAGCTTTACAGGTATCCTGTACCAGCTGTAGCAGAAAATTCTCATTAGGCGTGGAGCACCCATGTCTGTTCTTTAATTATTGGAGTAGGTAATAGGCGCGAAGGTGTGCTGTGCGTTCAATCATTTTCGATATAAATCGAAGCCAAAGCCCTTTATTTAAAAACAAATAGTTTAGTATTAACACACACTCAGATCTGTTGAAAACAGTTTAAAAAAAAGCAAAAACAAAGATGTAATTAAATTATATATATTTTATGGAATTTACTATTGAGAGGAAAGACACGTGGGACACAGGTATCTTTTTACTTAAAAGGTTTCCCAAATCATACACATTATTATATAATAAATGGTTGTCAAATGAATAATCACATTTTTAATTATTTTATTTTATAAAGTATATGATGATTATACATACATAGAGTAATAATAATAAGTATAAATAATAGTAATAATAAGATTATACATAGAATAAATAACTTTTTTTTTTCACCGACCACATTTTCTAATAATTCCATTTATAAGATATCCTATCGAATCCCTTTCTTAAAATCCTAATCGGATATTGCGATGTGTCACACTTTTATCACATATGTTTTATATTTCCTTCAGTCAACGCTGTAGCGTGATAACGAGTGCCATTTTCAGTGTTTTTCAAGGAAAATTGTTGTGGAAAATTATATTTTATAAGGTATGTCTTTGTTCATTTATTATAATATAAATGCGAGTCTTAAAATACTTCTTGTATTAAATCAGTAGTGGTAACAAAGGACTATATTTTCATAGTTTTATTTCTGTTACGTTAGCGTAACAATATGTACAAATGTTACAAATAATATGATAAAATTTCGAAATTATTTTGAGATTTTTATTAACTGTATCATTATATAAATATTTAGCTTAATTAATTAATAATGGTGTAAAAAAGCTTGAGTCAAACTTTGAACTAAAATACGAAAACACTCAACCACAAAGCTAAAGGTAGGTAAGAAAGTAACATTGTTAAACATAATCCAGTTTTAAACAATTTATATGATAAATATTTTCGTCGCCCACGCAATTCAAGATATGATTCTTGGAAATCAATACGATTAATTTTATTTTATCAACAATATCAATACTTATATCTGATAAAAGGATGGCAATAAATAAATAATGAACAAGAAACTGGTGTATTTACATCCAAATCGAATTATTAGCATCTGAAACAGCTGTTTACCTAAAGCGCTTTGTTCGGTTATTTATTAACCTCCAAGTTCACGTGAATTTTATGGTTTTGGCTATTTTGCCCATGTATATTACTTACATCGATGAAAAGTTATCTCATATATGTAGTTAACATTTAAAGATACAGCGATATAATTGCACTGCGTTTTGACACAGATATTAAATAGTACTTTCCGATTTTTTTAATCGTACCAGTCTTTTAATATATATATATTTTTCTTACTAAGGTTTCCTGAAAAATATCGCTTGTTAACGATAAAGCCGCCCGTCACATCTCTAACAATTTATATTACCCGTTATATTTGTATTTATAATGTTACGAAGTTTTAATCAGTATATTTACAGCACATAACAATAAAAACCATTAAAAATGTTTCAGGTAAAATGGGAGTAGAAACACACGCGTACCCCCCACAAAACCCACCACCATACCCGGGTCCACCATACCCGGACCCAATCATGAATCAGCCCCAAGGAATCCCCCTGCAGGGAGGACCTGGAGCAATGGGACCAACTATTATTGTCACCCAAGTTATGGGTTCTGAGGCTGCTTCTATGATTTGCAGATCGTGTGGTGTTCAAATAACGACAAGAGTTGAGAGAATGCCTTCAATGAGGACACATTTATTTGCGATTTTACTTTGTTTAGTTGGGTAAGTTTTATATCAAACGTCGGGGTTAATTTTTAAATTAAATTTCCTTGGAAACCAGTATCTGCTGAAATCACTTGGAAAAATATCGATTGGTACTGTTATATAAACTACGGATAACGGAGTTTATTAAATTGAGAGAAAATAAATACTTTGCTTGATCACTTTAATGTCGTTAATGTGATAAAGGTTCGGTTTAATCGTTAAATGAAAATAAATCTAGTCGCACTGTCAAACCATTTCAAATTAGGCGATCGTTTTCGGCAATATTTATTACTAGATATGGTTTTGAGGTAAACAGGTTATAAACACAACTCGTGCAGCTCGTCTCAAGAAATTGTTTTTAATTCGATAAATCATTTATAGAAGAAAGTTCTTTATAACTTTGAATAATAACTTTAATATTATTATTATATATGTAACCTGTTTCAGTATAGCATGGAGTAAATAGTACAATGAAACGATATTTTAAATTATAATGAAAAACGTAAGCATAACTAAAGTTTCAAACGAAACATGCAAACATTGACCTTTTAGCGTGATTATTCGTCATTTAATTACTATAACTAGGCTAAATAGTTCATTCCAATAATGGACTAAAATATTACACTTACACTATAAACATATGTCAATGTTTGGGACAAAAGAAATTGAACTTCCTCGCATAGTAAAAAATACACTAAGAATATGAAAAAACATACACAATAGCTGTTGCACTCAACATGATACACGGCATTCACATGGCAACTAAGATGGTGGGTAGATTCCTGATGACACAAAGCCAATTCAATTCCCAGCAACACAATTCTGGGACCTGGGTTGGTACGCTGCCTCGTTGCGTATTAAAGTTCACGCTTAATATTGACGATTTATTTTCCAGTTGCTGGCCGTGTTCTTGTCTACCTTACTGCGTAGACACATGCAACAACGCTGATCACTACTGCTCTAACTGCAACGCATATATTGGCTCTTACAATGGAGTATAAACTTAATGGAAATCAAAGACAAACCCGAAATACCTCGCTCTTCGTTCCACAACATGTTATAGAATACTTGTATTGAAGTATTTCAAAGTAATGTGACTCAGACACTCTTAAGAAACCACAGAACGTATTGAAGTGATAAAACCTACTGGTGGGCTAATTGGCATATTAAGTGCTTAATTTTTTTGTCAGTTTAATCTATAAAGAAAATTAATAAAGAAAAGGTTCAATTTAAATTATGTTGTTAGCTCGAAAAAATGCAAATGAATCTAGAAGTTTCCGTATAATGCAAAGTATATTTTTCAAAATTCGATCGTTACACGAGATATCCATAGATCAATTTATACACAATTGGTTGGGTGAAACAAAACTGCATTTTTAGCAAATACAGTAGAACCTCGATAACGTAAACCTCGGTAACATAAAAACCTCTGTTACTTCAAAAAATACTATGTTCCCTTCCCATCAGAGCCCAAAACCTCTATAAATTAAAATACGCAACCTCTATAACGTAAATAAATAATCTCTGTATAGGCCCTCAGTAACTAAAAGAAATGTTTCCACAACCTCTATAACATAAAATTGTTTGTGAATGAGTCATTTTATAAGAGTGTCAAAACAAATGGTTTCGGTATTTATTGCTTGCACGTGTTTACTAATGTATTGTTAACGTAAACAATACATTACCTATTGTTTGCTTTATCTAAATTCTTCAAAGCTTTGCGGCGGTTAGCTTTGTGACAACGACTTACTTGCATCATAAGTTAATGTGTTAATGTATTCTCCTCTCTATTTGTCATTGAAAATCAAATCGATTATAAACAGTGAATTTTTTAAAACAAAAGAAAATCACAGTTTTTTTTAAGTAGACTAAACCTTTAGTTGTTGTTTTATTTTTATGTAATGTAAGTAATGTGAATAAATATGATTAAATATTTAATTTTCCATCCTTCTGATGCATTCAAGTAAAAATGGGAGGAAGGGTACATAGAAACATGTACATACCTCTATATTAGCCTTTACCTGACATAGATAACTTAAAACCTCGATAACATAAAATATTTTGTGTTTCCCTTGGACTTTATCTTATCGAGGTTCTACTGTATTAAGTATATTATTGTTAATTTGTGAAGTTTAATAATAGTGTAATTTCGTTATATTACTTATCAGACTAATAACTAAGTGTATCTATAAGATAAGGTATATTTATTTGGATAATGTATATTGTTAAAATTTATGAAGTAGCATTAATTCATTGTACTATAATTTTCTTCGCGAACAATCAAAGCTCCAGTGTAAATTATTCAACATTAAAATTATTTGTAATACCTGTATTTTTTTATGTTTCATTATTAATTTTAATAATTTAATTCCATTACTTAATATTATTCATAAATATAAACGCTATTCTATCTTAAACTTTCCTTCTGTCACACATACGCTAATTTCATAGCTGTGTGAGAGCGTGTGTAACGTGTGGAAGATACCTCACCAACACAAAACAATTTATATCAACCATAAAATCGAATTCTGCACTTTTGACAGCCTACCTAGCTAAGAATTATATTGTAAGGTTTTAGTTTCCTAGTATCGGCATGAATGTGAGCTCGAGATTTTCAGGAGAGGGTAGTTTGTTTTACACACTCTATATTTGCCCTAGTCAGTTTCTCTTCCAGGGCAGTCTCTATTGAAACCGCCCAATTACAAAAAACATATTAGAATAGTGCGCCCTCTATTCCAAATAAAAAAAAATCATTTGTTTTTATTCAATAAAAGTTACATTTTTAGCAGATATTGGGGCCCCTGAACTAAGTCTAGGGAGACCTGTACATCAGGGTACTCCACACTTCATCAGCATAACTGCAACGAGTCAGGGGTGATACTCAAACAAGAGATGTCAATAAGAGACCTACGAAGTACGAGTACCCAACTGAGTTTTCGGGATCACTAAGTGCAAATTAACAAGAAATCATACATAATGGGATTTGTGCTTCGAAGGGCAACGTTTACTAACATTAATGCCATCTCAAGCTTGTACAACGTATTCGTTAGAAGTATGTTAGAGTGTAACTCGTCTGTTTGGGCTCCACATGAAACTATGTACTTCTGTATGCGTTCCAATATAAGGCATACTGCCTTACAGTGGATGTTTAAATGTTTTCTTTATCTAAGTACCCAACATTGTTTGTCTTAGCTATGGTGACGTATAATAAATTAGAAACAAGACGGAACTTACAGTTGGCCTACTATCTACTTCAAGTCTAGCAGTGAGTGGTGAGCAGCCCAAGTGCTCTCCAACAATTGGGTTTGTACCAAGGTCAAGGTTGTTAGCAATAAGGGCCAAAACCAAATGTTGCACAGATCCCCGTTAACAAAGACGTTGCGCTTACTGAATGCTGTCTCCGACAATATCGACATCTTTATATGTTCGCAGAGAGTAGCGAATTGTGTATATTTTAATATATAAAATTTTTTGAAGAAAAACGCTTTTTACCGGATTAAAGTTATGTTTATTATTATAAATTTACAACTATTTGACATAATTTTAAATTTATCCGACGTTTCGCGTGCTTTACAGCGTGCGTGGTCACGGTGACTGAAGACAAAAGATGTTGAATGTCAAAAAGTATCACAGCTGCAGAGAAAGTTGCATTATCTGTATTTATTTCCCCGGAGTTGGTATCGACTAAAAGATGGAGGGTTGCGATGCGTGACCACGCACGCTGTAAAGCAACGCGAAACGTCGGATAAATTTAAAATTATGTCAAATAGTTGTAAATTTATAATAATAAACATAACTTTAATCGGTAAAAGCGTTTTTCTTTAAATGTGTAAAGGTTATGTTAATCAAAGACAATACTAAATTTTTGGAGTTATACTTCTTTAGGCGCGTTAGTGAAAAATGGAGGGGGGGGGAATTTTTTATTCGGGCCCCCCCCCAAAAACCCAAAAATTAACAGAATGAAGTTGCCCAGATGCTACGGCATTGGACATAATTTAAAAACAACATTCGAATAATAATAGAATTTATGTTACACTTAATGTAAGAGAATAATAATAAATATTTATTTATTTAATTTTTCAAATGTAAACTGAACTTTATTGACTATAATGACTCCTTTTCCAGTCTTTGATTATTTAATTGTAATTTATTATTTGCATGCAATCAAAAACTATTTTTAATAATGACAAAGAAGTATAACTTCTTACGCGCACCCTTTTTTTCCACATTAGCTTAGTAAGGATAGTTAATGTCTTTTTGTGAATAAATATTTTTTTACTATTGTGGGATGAATGTCCGATGACTGGACTGTCTCAAGAACAGGCGCAGGACTACCAGCTTTACATGATTATTCGCGGCACGGGGTGTTTCGAAAAATTTAGAAAATTGTCTTTATTTAGAAAAGTGCACCCGGCAGAAAGGGTTAAAAAGGGGGAAAAATACAATGACTAATTTGTTTTGTAACCCATAAACAAATTATTGTGAAAACATAAAAGTGATCATATATTTATAAATTTAGGATGATTACGTCGATTTTTTATTAAGGTGCTATCATTCTCGGTAATGATAAGCAACAAAATAACTCTTATCGCAGATAAAAACATGGTATAGAGAGAAAAATTCAGTCGATACTGAACAGTCACCAGCTATGGATAAACAGAATAAGGTGAGATATCGATTTTGTATGTGTGTGAATTAGAGTAAGATGTATTCTATACACTTTAAACGTTCCCATAGACAAAGCATCTGAAAGATATTACTGCGTTTTGTAAATTGCTAGCCTGAGAGCCGAATTTATTATCAATGAAAATAAAATATTTTGCCTTTTCCCGAAGAGGTAGGCGGAGACCACGGATCTCCATTTGCTACGACCCTGACATACCTCTCATGACATTCATGTGAATTCTCCGATACGCATTGGGCTACAGACCATTCCCTCTCGCCTAAGAGAGGAGTCCTATGGCCATTAGTAGGACATATACAACGTGTAATTGAGTACTCTGAAAATCGTGAAAATTTATAAAAATAAAACTGAGTACAACGTGACGATTTTACTGATAGTTCCCCATCCGAAGAATTTTCCACGGGCGTCATATGCCGTAGTTACGCCACTGCTCGTAGGGTACTTTAACTTGTTCCTTTTCTGGTACCTCCTGGATTTGCTCCAGGTATGTACGACAAGGCCTACCCAATCCGATCCCACACTTCTCACGTATGTAACAATTACTTATCCTATCACCCTATGTTAAAACACACATACTTAACGCTTTAGTAATTAAAATTCTCTAAAATTCCAGTTTGAAATGACGGATACAAGATATCCAGCGAGTCCACCGTACCCAGGAGGCTCAGGGTTTCAACCACACCAACCTCCTTACAGCAATCCTCCACCATACACAGAACACCAAATAGTAGGTCCACCAGTGCAAACCACTGTTATTACAACATCACCCACCATTGTGATGATCAACAATCTGGGACCAAATGCAACGTCATGCTTTTGTACTGCGTGTAATAAGCAAGTTGTCACTGCTGTGAAAAAAGAAACAACTCTCAGGACTCATTTGTTAGCAGGAATTCTGTGTCTATTTGGGTAAGTAAGAATTATTTAGACTATGGGTGATACACTTATTCAAAGAACTAAATCAGTCTTATTGCTTTTAACTTAAGTACTTTTCGTCCCTTTCTTTCAATTGTGTTTGTTTTGTGTTTACGCTGTGATGAAGAGAGACAGATGACTTGAAGTACTTTACTTTTATTTTTTTAGGAAATTGAAAAGTTTCGACACATTGCGTTACTTTTTTGTAAGGCGTAATAATTCTAATAGTCCTTTCGTATTTAGACTGGAATAATTGTTTTCCAGTAAAGTTTACCTAATGTATTTATTTTTATTTATAAATACTTAATAATAATATTTCGTTTTCCACGGTTTTACTTAGTTTGCCGAAAGAGATTGCCAAACATAATAATTATTATTTATTTTATTCAAAACAACAGTAACTACACAGTATTTATATATATATATATATATATATATATTTACAGTATGGAGCCTATTTTCATCCTAAATAATAAATTTGTTAATATTGCTTTGCATCATAGTCTGAAATGGAAATGCACTTTGCTTTCTTATCCTATGAATTGTATTAAAAATACTATATAATTTTATACTTTATTTTCAGATGTTGGTGCTGTGTTTGTATACCATACTGTGTGGATAGTCTTAAAAAGTCATTTCATTACTGCCCACAATGTAACGCTTACCTTGGATCGAGCACATGAATTATGTGAAGTGATTAGTAAAAAAAATATATTTATATTTTTTTCATATACTTTATGGTGAGAAAATGTCATAGAAGTCCTATACACTTATGACATATTTTTTTATTAATATTATAATTCAAAATAAAGCTAACTTTTTTTTCATAAATTTAAACAATTTGTACAAAAGTTTATTACCAAATTTTTATATCATATTGTCTTTAATGTACACGATCAACACATTTAGCGATTTATCTAAATTGAGTTACGTAAGTAATAAACTTACTTTAAAATACGTTATGGAAGTTTTATTTTAAATATTCATTAATATAACATTGATTTCATTGAAAACGTGGTCGGAAAATCTGACTGAGTTTCATGGTTGTTCGTAGCCGAACATGTTTTAATAGGCAGAACTCAAGGTGAGATTCAGTAACGGACTTCACGCGAACGCTCACGTATGTCAACATCCAATATATTTGCGACGTCAGACTTATCGGTAAGTCTCTGATTGCTCTCACAGTGGTATTCAGAAACAATACTTAAAAGTAAATGCCTTCCGTACGTCAACGTCAAGCTAAATCTCGAGTCCGAATCATATGCGATTGTATAATAGAGCCTTTTTAATTTCCATATCTATTTCTATTTCTTTTTTATTTCAAATCTTGTTAGTATTTAAATGTTAGTCGCCTGTCGATATGGACCCGTCTTAGGTGAAGGACTCCTCAACTCCGTCCAAAGATGTCTCTATCTTTGCCAACAGTCTGCCACTCTTTTCCTGCTATTTCTATCATCTATCATCATTCTTTTTGGCCTACTCACTCTTCTTTTCCCGGATGGTTCCGTCCATTGTGTTGTCTTTAATGTCCATTATTGTATATAAATAAATATAATTAACTTTGACATTGCTTTAGATGAAAAACGTTGGACAAAACACAAAAACACATTTTTACATACATACATAGTGAATGTATAATTCGTATATTTTATCGTTAAGTGTTACGTATCTGTTACTCTGTGAATGTTATCTATAATCTTTTAATAGCGAGTGCCGTCACTATTTACTTGTTTCTTAGGATATTTTAAAGCCAGAGTTTAATAATAAAAATAGTCGCCTAGCGCTTCTCGGAGAGAATAAGACGTATTTTTAGTGTTTGTGTGTGTTCATTGCGTTAATATTTCGTTACATTTGTTAAAAATAGAGGTAAGATTTCTGATATGTTTTGTTTCAAATGAATCATGTTGTTTAATTTACTAGTAAGTTTATGCTTTGCCGTTTCTACAACTAGCGTTTTAGGCTTGGTGGTTGAATAAACTATACAATAATAGCGTTCTTTACATTAAATTCTGCATACGAAGTTGATTTCGCTTTAAGTATGAAATTGATTTGAAACTATTGAATTTTACCTAATAATTTCTATAAGAATTATTTTATCCAGTAAGTATAAATTAGTATGATTTTATTTATGCAGATAAAACTATTTTGTTTGTCCCTATTACACGGTTATATGATTTTATCGCTGTATGTGTAATTTATATACCAAATTACATTTTGAAAGCACAAATGAAACTTTCGAGGCTTTCAAACTAATTTAGTTCTATGATTAGAAGTGGACTCGTCAATAAGTTATAATCTAGGCTGTGCCTTTCTATAGATATTAAACATTGAATTTTATGTACAATATGTATTATAACGATAGGTAGGAGAAAAGGCCCGCTAAGGAAGAAAGAAATATCGTCCTTTTGCGTGGTGAGAGAGGTGGTCACGATAGAGAGAAATGAGGCCGTCTAGAGAAGGCATTTCCTCTTTAAGTGGTCTTGGAAAAAAATATGGTTAGGTCTGCTATTCCTGTCTGTCTATATATATGCATATAAATATAGACAGATAGGAATAGCAGCGTTGGCCTAGTCGATGGAACCTGCGTCTCTCAACCGTGAGATCATGCGTTCGAATCACGTCTGTGCAGTAATGGATTTTTCTTTCGAACTTGATTTTCGTTTTTTCTAACAGATGACCAGCCTTTTGTGCCTAACACATGCGTTCGACTTTTTAGGTCTAAGGTATGTCGGTTATCTCATGATGTTTTGTTCACCAAAGGAGCGTAAATTAGTACATAGATTTTGTATCTATGTACTAATTTACGATCCATCGGTGTACAGGCGAAGATCGAAAGTACGACTACACTAATTTTATAATTAATATTATAATTAAGGTTGATACAGCATTTTAAATAGTAAATTATTTATACGAATGTACCTATATAAAGAAGAAACTACGTGGTTAAATTTGAGTTTGACTTACATGACCTTGTAAATTAAAGTGGTTCACATTATTAGGTAAGTCATTCATAAATGACTCAGAACAGTCTCACATTAAAACAATATAGGTCTCACAGTCTCTCTAACAGTCTCACATTATAACACTGCCCAAAATTATTATTTTTATGAATGATAATGTAAAAATGAAAATTTGACCTTTTGATAAGTTTAACAAAAGGTTGACGACTCATTGCTCTAGTGGTTAGTACCCCTGACTGCGAATCTATGAGTCCCGGGTTCGATCCCCGGCTGAGACGGACATCGATGTGATGAGCATTTGGTGTTGTGCTTAGGTCTTGGGTGTTTAAATATGTATTTATATGTCTATCTATCTATAATATGTATGTATATCCGTTGCCTAGTACCCATAACACAAGCTTCACCAGCTTAGCATGGGACTAGGTCAATTGGTGTGAATTGAAAAAAAAAAAAAATATTGAAGTATTCTTATGAGACATAGGAATCCCTGGTACAGCCATATTTAAGTACCAAAAATGAATTATAGATAGAGTCTAATTTTTAATGATTTGCGATTATTTTTACATTATTAAATAAAATGCTAAATAATTTATTATTAAATTACTTTGGTAAAATACACATGGAAAGCAACATACATATTATTTGTGCTACTAAAACACGAAGGCAACTAGTAAATAATGACTCATACGTCGACAAGACACGGCAACCAATCAGAGTTAATTGTAAATTTTTAAAGTTAGTCATTTGTTAACATTCGTAGTGTAAAGTCGTACCAATAATATTTAAATCAGGTATGTTATAAATTACATATAATATTTAATGTGTTGTTAGAAAAAGTAATAGTAAACAGCATTTGAATAATGTAAATTGTAAGATTGTGTCACGAATAGCAACGGCCATATTGTGAACGGAGGTTTTGGTGTGAGGTGTGTACTTGTACGGTGAAAGTTATAAAATTGTTTCATCACATTAGGAGAATAGTGCGCATGGTACTTACGTGTTTGTGATTTATAATACATATTTATAATTGGTGATACTATACTATTGTATTTTATACACTATAGTATTGTACTGTGTAGGCAGATTAATAAAAAGAGGAATCTAATGCAACGAAATCTAAGTTTTTATGTTTGTTACATCATTATAAAGAATTGCTTCTTTCAATAATCAGTCTTTATAATGAAGAAGGTTTGCACCTTAGCACTCCCGGCTTTAATATTATCATTAGTCTTGAATAAGCTTATATAGTCACAATTTAATCCGTGTCAAGTATTATTTCAAGTACATGTACGATTCCTATTAATAAGTCGAATTATAACAAAGTTATATACTGTTTAATTAATTGAAGATAATCAATTTATGCGGGTGGATGAACTCTTGCTAATAAAATTATAATAATATCACTCAAGCCGGTATTATATATATTTACCTGCTTTCTTGGTCTAGACTCTAGTAGTTAAGGCGTTTGACTGTAGACTATGAGGTAAATGCAATGCTATGCGAAATTCCAGTGTTGTCGGGCTAAGAGATAGGTATGGGATTGATGCGTATCTGTCTTATTGCACTTTTTAATCTAAATAACTCAATTCTCTCTTTCTTTCCAATTGTGATGGAAAGAGACGAGTCAGTACTAGGTATAATGAAAACGGTGCAATTAGACAATTTTTTTTTTTCAAGTCATATTTAATTATATGGCTTCAAATCCTAACTGCCTAGAACCATTTTATGGATCACATACATGGTTACAATTTTAATATATGACAAAAACAGACAACAATTAATAATTAATCCATTATTACAATCTAGAAAAATAGTACAGAGAAGTCTGTAGACGGAAGAGAATTCATGCCAAATTTTTGTTATTACGTCATAACAAATTGTAAACAACTTTTGTTCCGATGCGCACGAACAATCGAACAAACCTTGATTATAATTGAATGTTTTCTACAAAAAAATTCGGTTAAAAACAGGCCTTTGTAGTGCTATCAACAGAAGAACACAATACTAAAAAATACTACAAACTTCGAACTAACTATAAACAAATTATAACGTTTACATACACTTAAATCTAGCATATAGAAAAGTTATAGTTAGCGTAAGGATATTAACAAAATTCTTATACAAACCAATTTTATGTAATAATATGGTATTTACCTATGAAATCGGATTTCATGATTTCAATGAAAATATTGTTTTTTTTTCAGCTAAAAAGTACCTACTCTCCCATAAAGTTTAAAACATTGTCGTAAAGGAATCATAAACTTTATATCGCAGATAACAATAGGATAAATTACCTCGTTTCTATACCGTTTCAGTAGTGCTATGCATGTTTCAATGCGTTAGTCTCGCTGTTGGTCGCTTAGTTCGTGTGGCACGCACTGATCTGGCCTTTTTATCATTTCGATTTGACGCAAGTGCCTTACACTACCTTCTAACAGCAAGCTCATCGGTAGCTTAAGTTGGATCTGTTTCCACTATCGCCTTCAATTCGTCGCCGAGAATGGTGGCCGGCCAACCGCGACGCTCGTTCATCAACTAAAAATTCCAGATTTAAAACGATTAAACAATAATGGGCCGTGTTTATGCAAGTAGTATTAGACCTGTAGTTAATTTGGAGCAGCGGTATTTCCAAATACGACTTATATATACGAAAAACATCAGTTTTTGTGTGGCGCCAAAAACTGCCACAAGTTAGAATTTCAAATTGCGCGCCAGTCTATAGA